GATCCCTTCCGTCTCCTTCCGGTGCTGTGACCCTGAAGCACTATAGCGAGAGAGATAACCCCCTGATGCAAGAGTGTGAGCGTGTGGGCTGTATGTAATATTATGCAAGTTGCGGACGCTGTGTTTCGCCTATAGCAACGAGCCGTATCACGCAGTGCTTCTATTCCACTCTATTATGCAGCGTTTCTAGTCCACATTTGGATTACGGCAGAGATCTTCCTCTGTGGAGTTCTATGCATATGGACCTGATGTCTAGGCCCTGCTGTTTTGCTTATGATTTATTTTTCTCATAAGTTTTAAGCTAATGGTCATATGCTGATGTTTTATTTTGAAGTATTTCTTATCTGTTATTATTGATTTTGTTAGCTGAGTCCTGTTTGTACTAACCGCTAGGGGTCTATATGATGTGTGGAGAAAAGGGGAGTTTTTAACCCATTTTTCTATATTCTAGGAGCCAGCCTGCGTGGGAGTACTTTCCTCTGGGGTCATCTGGGCCTTTCCTTTACTGCATGTGGCGTGAGGTTTCATGCACTGCATGGGTATTGATTTGAGAGTGTAAAGTTATTTGTATTATTCACTACATTTTTTAAAATTTGTTGGTTGGTGCACGTTAGTGCACGTGTGGCATGTGTACTCTTGGGTTGTGGGTCTTTGGCCCAGTGACTTCTTCTTTTCTTCCTGCAGGCTTGGTTGATCTTACATTCAGGAATTGTGGGTTATGATTTTAATATTTGACTTAAAGTCTAGACATCTTAAAATTGTGATTCTCTCTTTTTAGATGGTTATAAATGTGAAGTTGATTGCTTACTCAGAGATTTCAGTACTGATTTTTAATAAAAGTGTTCTTGGAGGTCACGTCTCTGTTCTTCATTCACTAGCTATAGAACTTGTGTTGCTGTTTAATTATTTCCGTGGGTAACTAACCCCGGTGGCGTAGTCGGAATCAAGTTGATCATTGGATATCGCTCGGTTACACATAGGTAGTCTCATTAGACTTGATTCTTGAGGCAAACCTGATTCTGGAATAGAAGAATAATTTATGATTTGATGTCTAAAGAAACCTCACATCAAAGGGTGTAGTACAGGGTTCCTCGAATCTTGCCCCAGGGGGCCAATGCTCTGGAGAGTTTAGCTCAAGCCCTGCTCAAACACACCTGAGCAAGCTAATCAAGGTCTTCAGGATCACTAGAAAATCACAGGTAAGTGAGTTTGACTAGGGTTTGAGCTACACTCTCCTGGGCAGTGGCCCTCCAGGACCAGATTTGAGGAACCCTGGTGTAGTATGATGTTAGGTGTGCTCAATCCTGCTCCTGAAGTTCGACCTACCTGCAAAGTTTAGCTTCAACCCTAATCAAATACATCTGAACCAACTAATTAAGATCTTCAGGAACATTTGACAATTACAAACAGGTGTGTTGGAGCAGGGTTTGAACTGAACTCCGCAGGAAGGTATCTTCACAAAAAGGAATGAGCACTTTGGCTTAGAAACTAAAGATCAAAGGGCATCAAGTGCTAATGAGAGGGTGGAATTCAGATTAAAGGCAGCAGTATCTGCAGACATTTCAGAAGATTAGTTGGTGGAGTATCACGAGACGTTTGTTGGAAAGGTGGAGGAGTATGGCATGGGCTGAAATTTGACCAAGTGACCAAGAATGAGAGGGAGGACAAGGATGTTGCCAGAGAGAGACAGCAGAAATCAGATGAAGAAGTGGGTGTTTCTTGACAAGTACTGCAGATAATATTTTAGACAAAGACAAGACCCAGTTGCTTTCCTGCCTTGATGCGCTGACATATACAGGTGCATCTCAATAAATTAGAATGTCGTGGAAAAGTTCATTTATTTCAGTAATTCA